GATAGCCTGCCACTTGGGGATTTCCACATTAAGCTGCACTAATGCTAAATCCTGAAGTTGTGGTCAGATTCAGAGGGACAATTGTCAAAAGCCCTTCAGAGATCCAAGTCATTATCATTATCTCTTGGAAACGTTACTTTACTACTACAAATATTCAGAATTTCAAATATGTTTCTGAAATGCATAGCTTAACACAAAATTACTTTTTTGGCATGGTCACATCCTTCTCAAGATGCTCTCACAGAGTCTTTGACTGACTCTATATCTCTTCCAATTTCAGATTGACTGGTGTGCTAACACATAACCCTTCATCAGGACACTCCAAGCTACAAAGCTGCAAGTTGTGGGATCTACACCCAGGCCTCTCGCACACTCTAGCCCAAACACAGTTATCATCAAAATCACTGCCCCTGAGAAGCCCAAAGATCTCAATCACATAGGATACTGGCAGCCAACACTTGTACATCTGTACACTGTAAACAGAAAATTAATGATCAGCTGTAGATAACTATCATTAGTATCAGTGAGTATGTTACTTTAACACTTGTGTCTCTTTGACAGCATGAATTTCTTTATCCAGCTCTTGAGCTTAGGAAAGTTGACCACTATATCCAAAGGACTGAATAGTGTTGTTTGACTTTATTTAAATATTGTATGGGTTTGCAATTTGAAACAAAAACGAAATCTGAGCATTTGTGTTGCCTAGGTTTTCTGAATAATCCTGTTTAATTTTTGGAGCCCAGAGCAACGGAGAAAATTGGAGACTTAAAAATTAGAGATATTTTGAGGAGTGGAGCCTAATCTCAGGGTACAGATTTATCATAGTAACTGAACCTTAGATTATGTTACATATTATGTCTTTGCATCATGTACTCCTCTTCAATCAGTTTTCTGGCTCTGACTTTAGCGCAAAACACACTGCAACAATCAAAACTGAATCTTAATCAAAACCAATCTTAGAATAAATATTGCATTGCAACATTTCAGTAAAGGAACACAGTGACCTGCAACCACTTCAGCAGGTTAAAAATAAAGTTGATTACAAATAAATGACCAATGAGAACAAACTAAACAGGAACAAGAGTAGGCCACATAGTTATACAAGCTTCCTGAATCATTCATTAAAAACATGGCTCACCTTAACCTCAACTCTACTGATCCCCAAATCCCTTGAGAGCCAGATGGTCCAACAGTCTATTCACATTGCCCTTAAAGGCACTCCACATCTAAGCATGCAGAGCTCTCTGGGTGGGGATTCTAAAGATTCACAGTCCTCTAAAAAATTTCTCCTTATTTCAATCCTAATGGGCCTACGTCTTATCCTGAGTCTATACTTCCTTAGTTCTCAACATCTGGACCTGTCAGGCCCTTTCACAATCAATGAGATTACATCTTACTCTTCTAAATTCCAAGGAGGATAGGCCATGTCTACATAATCTCTTCTCATTGGCCCACCTTCTAATCTATGATGATATGATAGAACTATTATGTCAATCAACTCTCCAAAACACTGACCCTTACCACATACTTGATTTGTGAATGTGCTGATATAATGGATTGATTTGAAGTCCAAATATGGTCACTCCTCTATCCTTACAAATATTTGGTTACATTTTCTATCACATCCCAGTACAAACTGGTGAAAGGGTATCATTGCCAATTTTGGAAAGTCCCATTTGACATTTGCTCTTCAGTTATGATGCAGTTTTTATCCACTTTCAACCTGTTCACCTTCACTATAAGGTCCTTGTCATCTTCCATTCTCTGAAGCTTCATTGCAATTTCTTCAGTGAAATCTCCTTGGTCTATTCTTCAGTCAAACACTGTGGTGAATAACTTAATCCTTCATTTAAATTTATCTCTAAACTCTTTCAGTTTCTTTTCCAGTCACCATTCTTCCTTCTGCATTCACTGAACCTATTACGACAAAAACTTATTTACACACAGCCATGGATAGTCCTTTGACCACACCATCTCTGACCTCTGCTCGCTTTTCTCTTTCTATTCATGTCTTCAGTCCCCTTGCATAATTCACAGTTCTGCCACCCTGCTTTCTGAGAAAAAAACATTTGCTTACGCTTCCTTATCATCCCATCCTCTAACTCCAGCTTTCTATATGCTGGCCCTTTAATTTCCATGACACTGAAGCTACTGTTGATTCCTTCACTTTATTAAATGTCCTTGTCTTCTCCCCAAGCTTTGAATATATCTGTTCTTCTTGATACAGATTCTGCCCCTATACCTTTAAGTGTGAAGGCTGCCAAATCAGGGTTCAAGAAAGATCCATGCTCTGTCATTACACACAACCCATTGCTAGCCATTAACTGTCCCCATTAGTAGTTATTCATTCTCCTAGACTAATTGTTATCCATTCCTTTATCCAACTGTTCTTCTCTCTACTTGGGTTTTATCTCCACCTATCATTTACTTCTTACCCCCACCCCCATCCTATCTTTTGCGTAAAACCAAACTTTCTCCCAGCTACTGTCATTGAGTCATAGAGATGTGCAGCATGGAAACAGACCCTTTGATCTAACTCGTCCATGCCAACCAGATATCCTAAATAAATCTAGTCCTATTTGACAACATTTGGCCCATATCCTTCTAAACCTTTCCAATCATATACCCATCCAGATGTCTTTTAAATGTTGTATTTGTACCAGCATCCATCACTTCCTCTGGAAGCTCATTCCATACATGTACCACCCTTTGCGTGAAAAAGTTGCCCCTTAGGTCCCTTTTAAATCTTTCCCCTCTCACCTTATATCTACGCCCTCTAGTTTTAGACTCCCCCACCTGGGGAAAAGACCTTTTCTATTTACCTTATCTATCCCCCTCAAGATTTTATTAACCTTGATAATGTCACCCCTCAGCCTCTGACACTCAAGGGAAAATAGCCCCAGCCTATTCAGCTTCTCCCTATAGTTCAAACCCTCCAACCCTGGCAACAATCTTGTAAATCTTTTCTGAACCTTTTCAAGTTTCATAACGTCATTCCTACAGCAGGGAGACCAGAATTGCATACAGTATTCCAAAAGTGAACTAAACAATGTCCTGCACAGCTGCAACATGGCCTCCCAACTCCTATACTCAATGCATTAACCAATAAAGGCAAGCACACCAAATGCCTTCTTCACTATCTTGTCTACACGTGACGTCACTTTCAAGGATCTATGAACCTCTACTCCAAGGTCTCTTTGTTCAGCAACACTCCCCAGGACCTTACCATTAAGTGTATAAGTCCTGCCCTGATTTGCCTTTCCAAAATGCAGCACCTCACATTTATCTAAATTAAACTTCAACTGTCACTCTTCAGCCCATTGGCCCTTCTGATCAAGGTCCCGTTGTACTCTGAAGTAATCTTCTTCACTAGCCACTACACTTCAATTTTGGTGTCATCTGCAAACTTACTAACCATACCTCCTATGTTCACATCCAGTTCTGAGGAAGGATCAATGGACCTGAAACGTTAACTCTGATTTCTCTCCATAGATGTTGCCAGATCTACTGAGCTTTTCCAGCAATTTTTGTTCGATAAAAGTTTTCCTCATATCTCTGTTACTTCTTTTACTAGTAACTTTAAATCTGTGCCTTCTTGTTCACAATCCTTTCATGACTGGGAATATTTTTGTCCTATTTACACTGTCCAAACCACTCATGATTTTGAATATTTCAGTCAGATCTCCTGATCTGAGATCTCTTAATCTCTTCGTTAAGGCGAACTGTTCCAGCTTCTCAATTTTATTTTCATAACTGATATTTGTCATCCCTAAATCATTGTTATGAACCTCTTCTGCACTCTCTCCAATGTCTTCACATCTTTCCTAAAGCACGATACTCTGAACTGGATGCAATACTTCAATGCTTTTAAGTTCCGTGTCATAAAATTTTTAAAGTATGTTTGGCACATCAAGGTTATTAATTTATATCAGGGAAAGCAAGGGTCCCAACTCTGACCTTAGAGGACTCCACTATAAACATTGCCCCAGCTTTAAAGGCATCAGGCAACTGGTCTCTTTTTCCTGCCACTTAGCCTTTCCATGAGCTCTAACCATCCTCACAAGTCTGTTGTGTATCAACTGCTTCTAGAAGTCATTTGACTCCTTAATTCTCTCTTTACATCCACTCCTTTCAGCTCTGAAAGTTGGGATTCATTGTTTCAACCTGTCTCCTCTTCATCTAATAATTCCTAGTGGAGCCTGGTCTTTATTCTAGTCTGAATGCCACTATCATTCTCCAACCCTCCTTCCACTTCCTTTTAGCTGGCGGAATCTATTATATGGCACTCTATTATGTGGCACCCATCTATTACTCCCTTAACTTTGTTCCTATTGAAATTCTCAGCACACCATCACTACTTCGATGCTCATTAGAGCCGTGATGCTGCCCATCATAACTTCTGCCTCTACAACAGACAGATCACTTCCCCAGATAGATCCAATTCCAGATCTTATTTTATCCCAAAGTTATGCAGGGTCCAGCAAACCACAACATATTTAATAGTCTCTCTGTCGCTGCCCATGGTATGGTTATTTCTTGTAAACACACCATCCTGGACATCAGCTGTTCAAGAGGACGGCTCACCACTAACACCACCCTCTCAAGGGCAAGTCAGGATGTGCAACAGATACCGGCCGAGCCAGCGTCACCCACATCCCGTGGATAAATATTTTAAATAAATCTCTTCCAACGCCTCTCACTCTGGGACCTGTATACAACTGGTTTTAGCCTCATTTATGCAATTGACAGCATCATTTTTGCCTGTGCCTTCTTTTCCTACATCCACGTCGTTACCTGTATCCCAATTCCAACGGCCAGTCAGGATGGGCAATGTAGGAATATCCGCATGGGACGTTAACACGAGACTGGGCAGAGGATACAAGAATCCCTCACTTTATGTATTCCCTGAGCTAGAGGTCAACAACCGAGCAAACCCCTTTTTTTGTCTAAACATCAAGGCAAATAGAACCCTCAAAGCAATATTATGAGTGAAATCTCATGCAGTTTGAAAATAAGCCTCCAGTTTCTCCAAAGGGAGAGATTTAAGTTGATGTTGTTGAACTTTTTGGAGCTGGAGGGGAGAAATTCGGAGTTTCTCTCTAACTTTCTGGCTGTAGTGAGTGAGTTTACAATGAGAGCGGTTTAGTCTAGAGCAGACACTCCGCCCCGCTTTCACCGCACGCACGTCTTTTCCGGACCGGGAGGAGACTGAGCTCTGTGCCCTGATCCTCAGCCTCTTGGCCGGCCTGCGGGCCCATATCTCTGCCCGTCCAGGCCCCAGCCAGTCGGGGAGAGCAGCTTGAAGGAGGGCTCTCGGATGCCCCGAGCTGACTGAGGGCTCCTTGCCTTTCGTACGATGGAGGAGCCGGCCGGTGCCCTGCAGGCGTCTCTGTCGGAGGCGCAGAATGAGCGGCGCTCCATGGCCGAGGAGGATCCGAACGGGAACGAGCACGGAGCCGGGGCGAGGAGCAGCACCGTGCCGCGCTGGGGACCACAACACGCCGGGGCCAGGGAGCTCGCCCAGCTTTACTCACCAGGTAAACAGGGCAAAGGGACCCCACTGGGACACTCCGGGTATATTCACCAACACGGCCCAGCAGCAAGAACCCTCCTACTGGGGAACCTGGGCACAGTCACCTAGTCTGGCAGTGCCCATATCATTCCCAGCCCGGCTCCTACCCAGCAAGTACCACTGGGTGCTGGGAGCACAAACACCATGGCAACAGGTAGTCTCTGCAAGTTTCAGCAGAGGAGGTGATGTAGTTGCATTGGCCCTTTTACAGCGAACTAGAACTAATCAAGTTATCCCTTTTTTTCCCCCGCTGTAACGCCCCGCTACTTCAGTTCTTTATCCGGTTTTCTCTAAAAGATGTAATGGTCCATGTCCCAACCGTTTCCTGCTGCCAAAGCATCTGTATTCGAACTGTATAGAGAGCTGCTGTCTTTGGGATTCTGATCGCTCCATTGCATTTTCAGGATGGTCAAACTGGGACTCCAGGTAGCTAAATTATTCCAGCTTGCGGCCTCGATAGTACTACAGCATCACATGTGATGGTGGTGACACCCTGGGCTTTAAGTCAGATGTTTGTGGGTTCAAGTCCCACTGCAGAAACTTGAGCAGATCATTTCACAAAAAACTCCCCAGCTGTATTTGGAGAGTAGCACAATGTCAAGGATGGCATCTTTCTGATGAGGCACTAAACCAGTCTCCCACCTGCCGTCTCCGGGAAAAAAGAAAATCCCATGTTACTATCTCGAAGAAGTGCAGGAAAGTCCTCCCTGGAGTCCAACCCAATATTTATTCAGAATCAGCTTCTGTAAAACAGATGGTTTGTAATCATTATCACATTGTTATTTGCTGTGTGCACATTAGCTGCATTTCCTACATTATAAATGACTATAATTGAAAAAAAAACACTTTGGTGGTGAAGCACTGAGATGTCCTGATGCTATATAAGGAGCCATACAATGTAAGTCTCTCTTTCAAAGAAGACCGATTTTTAATGTAGCTGACAGGAAGTAGACCCTTAAAATGCAATTGATGAACGCAAGTGAGGAAAATCGGAGATAGCAGGAACGACAGATGCTGGAGTCAGAGTCAATAAAGTGTGGAGCCGGAGGAACACGGCAGGTCAGGCAGCATTAGAGGAGCAGGATGGTCAAACTGGCCTAGACCCTTTGTCACACCGTGTTAACACAAGTGAGAAAGTTTGGGCGCGTAACTTCTTTTGTTGCAACAACACCAATTTGTGTAACTGTTACAAAATGTCCCAAAGCTATTTTAAAAGAAAATATGACATTGAGCCATCTAAAATATTGGGACAGATGACCAAACTTTTGTTCTATGAAGTAGGTTTTAAGGAATATATTAAAGGAGGAAAGATAGGTAGAGAGGCTTGGGGAATAAATTCCCAGAGCCTTGGGGTCTAGCCAATTGAAGGCATCACTATCACTGGTGGACTGATTCATATATAAGATATACTCAAAAGATTGGAAATTAGAGGAGCGCACGTATCTTGGCAGGTTGTAGAGCTGGAGGAAACTACGGAGATGGGGAGTGGTCAGAGGTGGAGGAATTTGAAAACAGAAATGAGAGTTTTAAAACTGAGTCATTGTTTATTTGGGGGCCAGTGTAGAGCAGCAGTGATTAATGGATTGGTCTCAGTGCAAGTTAGGACAGGGGCAGCACAATTAAGGTGAGTAGAATGTGCAAGACCAGTTAAGGATGTGATGGAACAGTTGAATCTGGAGGGAATAAAGCATGGATGTGGGTTTCAGCAGCAGAAGAGTTGAGGTAGGGGCAGCAATGAGTGATATTATTGAAGTGGAAAAGGCGGTTTAGTGATAGTATGGACATGTGGTTGAAAATACATCTTGGGGTCAGACATGAGACTGAGGTTGCAGACAGTCTGGTTCAGCCCCAGATGTTGCCATGACAGAGTTAGGATCAGTAGTGAGAGAATGGGGTTTTTGGTAGGGTCTAAAAATTATCTATGAATATGTCATCAAGGACCAGGAGTAGGCCGCTTAGCCATTCAGTAAGATCATGACTGATCTGATTTTAACCTCAACTGTATATTCTTGTATATCCATGATAATCTTTCATCCCCTTGGTAATAAAGAATCTATCTACCTTTGTCTTAAAGATATTTAAAGATTCTGCACCCATCTACTAAAAACAAACTACATAATGTTATTAACGTTGTTGTTATCTAGTGAATACTAAGATGAATGAATTGACTCATCAGTGGTGCTGAGCAAAGATAGTATACATTGGGTTTCTGGTGATCTTGAACCTATACCTGTCTCTGTATTACCTGCCTGCCCTCAGTACAGTTGTGTGAAGTGGATTCACTCATCAGCATTACAGTAAGGGAGGCCACTTGAATTGCCCTCTGGTCCTACTTTTGGTAACAATAGGGAATTGAGACCAGTGGTGGGAAGTTGATGTGACTTTCGTTGTTGTGGGGCACATTCAGTTTACTTAAAAAGAAATGGAGAGCTTACAAGTACAAGTTTCCACAGAGGAGTCCTACAAACAATAATTTTATTTGGAAAACAACTCATCTTGGGACTCATTGCTGCACAATTCTGCAGTTGTCCTCTGTTTTGAATCTTTCAGTATCGTAGCTAAACTATATCGATGTTGAATTGGATTTGTCCCAAATGTTGCTATAGTGGAGGATCTCTGGTTTATCAAACGTCTGTGGCTGACAGTTTCTCTGCCACCATACAAAATTATTAGGTTCTGACTTTTGACTGTAAATTAAAATACTAAATGCTGCAAACTTTAATTAAAGAGCTTAAAATTAAAACTGACAATTTTATTTAAATATATAGACTAAATATAGAGCAGGACAAATACTACTGGTAATGATTAAATTAGAATTCTTCATCAAGCATGAGAATTGTTTTGCCCTTTAACTAAGATTAGAGATCTGCTATTTTAAATATAGTTGAAGATGTCACTAATTACAGGCTTACACCCAATGTTGCCGTTAAGTTAATTCACTGCTTACTGTGGAAGTGAAACTGCAAATACCTCATTTAATTTCTGATCTGTGCTGAATTAGATTATCTCAGTTGGGGTGATGGTTAGGCACAATATTTGGCCTCAGCACCTTTTGGGCTAGGCAAGGAAAATCACCCATGGTTTCAGTCCCTGATGATAATTTCAAAGCCTCTGTCAGAAAGGGCACATGTCGGACAGTGGTAGGATCTCGCATGACTGTGATGCCTCATTCAAGTAAATAGATATGGAATTCCCTCACGTTCAAGTGACACATATGAATGTTTGAAAAACAAACAGACTGGAAAGGGCTGGATAGTCCATTTAGCCTGTTCCAGGCGCTCATGATGCAACTAAACATTAGGATCTGCTGTATTACTTTCACCAGTAATCATGTAATTGACTAGGAAAGATAAAGAAACAAATAGAGAAAGAAAACATGAGCCAATTCAGAGGAAACTCTGAAGTTGATCACAAGCAGTTCTGGGAGATCACACTGTGTGTTACTGCTTAATGCCCCACCTATCTTTCAACACAGTGATATCAGTGACAGTTTTGGCAGGAACAATGAAAAAAAACAAATACAAAAGCAGGAATTAATGCAGGGTGTTGGTGGGACCACATACGGAGTATTATTTACACTATTGGCCTCTTTATTTAAGGAAGAATGTAAATGCATTGGAAGAAGTTCAGAGAAGGTTTACTAGACTAATACCTGGTGTGAGCAATTTTTCTTAGGATGAAAGGTTGGGCAGACTAGGCTTGGGTCAGCTGGAGTTTGGAAGGATAAAAGGTGACTTCATTGAAACAAAAAAATAACGATCTCAACAGGTATTTGTAGAAATGATTTTTCCACATATGGAAGAATCTAGAACTAAGGGTTACTGTTTACTGTAGTACTTACTTATGTCCTCCCATTGCCTTTGTCGTTATACCTAATATCCATCATAGACAGAGCTGAGGACCCAAGCTGAGATGAGATGAAATAAAGTTCTAAGAGTCCATTGCAAAAACCTCACTTGGTCATAAAACCCTATTTCTATGTTTGCATTTCTTCACCTCAATAATGCCTTATAACAAAAAGTATTTGATTCAAGTGCACAAAATCTTATAACAGGAATTGGAATTAATAGTTTGATTTCAAAGTATCTGTAACCACTTGTAGCAGCTAATCAAATGATGAAATAATTGACACTCTTTGGTGATGATGAATGGTTGTGAAAGCAGTCATGTAGCACTAATTCAATAATGCAAACCCCCCAGTCTTATGTCAACTGAGAGATGGAAACAGGAACAAAATGGTTTATTTAACTCGTGGAAATTTCTGTTGAAGATTAAAAGGACAGGACTTTTAAATGTATAGCAGATCTTGTTGACGTGCTTTTGACAGATCTTCTTGCCATTTTTTGACAATTTCTCTCAACATTTCTCACATGCCCTTTCAAAGTTGACAGCCCTATTTGACAGGTCAGTTGACAATCCCAATGAGTTTAACAGTTATCGAGTTTATGCACTTTGTATGTCCGTTCATGACTATTTTCACCAATTCCAAAGGGCAGCTGTCCTCCCCCAAAGGTGTCTCAGGGCCTTTTCCAAAAGGGTACCTTGGCTACTCAAAGAGATGAATAAAGATTAGACCTGCTCTTGCCACACTCCTAGGCTACCTGTTACAAAGATGCGAGATGCTTAATATCACTTGGAAGACTTATGTTTTGAAGGATCATGAAAATAATTTATTTCAATGTTTTTTGGCAATGTCTGGAGTGGTTTCTTTCAAAGAGATCATTGGAAGATCACAATGGAAAGCTTTTAAACAAGACTTCCTAGATATCGAAAAGGACTGGTGATAATTGCTTGTTTTCCTGTAGACTCCAGGTGATGCTGGTTTGAGCAGTGGCTGGCTTGGAGAAGGTACTTGATTTATCTGGTTGAGTTGGAGGGAAGCCTGCTAACAAAAGCTGACTTGGAAGAAAGCTTACTATGTACAAGCTGCCCAGCAGATCCATCCCATTTCTGAAAAGGAAACTC